TTTTTTCCAATTTCCTTGAAGAGCTCATACTTTGCTCAAAACGAGGGAGCCACCTATTCATTAACTGGAAACTCCAAAACTGCAAACTGAGATAAACCTTTCCTGGTTATTAACTGATTATTTCAGTAGTTCATTACAGTGACAGAAAGCTGATAAACTCAGATATTTTTATATCCAGAAATTCTTTTTGGATCTAACACAATATATATCTCATTATTTTAACTTACATTCAAGGAATTGTCAGACAGATAGATGATAGATGAGAGAGAGAGACAGGGAGAGAGAGAGAGAGAGAGAGAGAGAGAGAGAAACAAATAGGATTTAAGGACATATAGCACTTAAGTAATACACGTTATTTTCACTAAACAAACATCTCTTATTTAGTTTCCTATGTTGATCTAATGCCTGTATCTCCCCAGTCAAATGTCAAGCAGATTTTAAAGCTTTGCGGGTAGGAGACACAAGCAAAAAAAATTTCCCAAAACTTTTTCCTCTGAAAAATATAAGGTAGTGTACTTCCATTTCAGTCAAGAAAAAATTTGATATTGACATTGTTGCTTATATCACAGGTTTTAGAAAATGTCTGCATTGCTCTAGCCTGGGGTAGAACACTTACTTTGCAAGCAACACTCTGAAACTCTACCACTTCCCTTGCTTCTAAGATTAAAAGCAAGCAGCACCTGCCTTGTGATCATGGTTAAGATCTTATCTTTTCTTGTTTTTCTGCCTCTGACAGATGGTCCAGGGCCTTCATCTTACATGATACAAAAGTGCTTGATATTTGCTTCTCTCATGCCTCAGATTGAAGGAAGACCATCAGGAATACAAACACACACACACACACACACACACACACACACACGCACGCACGCACGCACACACACACACACACACACACACACCAGTAGTCTCCCTGAGACCTTCAAGTCTAGCAGACTCCTGCATTTCTAACTCTTCCTTTTTCATCTGTGATGGATAAACATATCTACTTTGAGATTTTTATAACCATAAATTCTTTTTTAAGGTTGGCTAAGGTTTTAACAATTTCATTTATTCTTTCAAACAACCAACTCTTCAATCCATTAATTCTTTGTATTGTTTTCTTAGTCTCAACTGAGTTAATTTATGCTCTGATCTTTATAATTTCCTCCCTTGTGTGGGCTTTAGGCTTGACTTCCTCTACTTTTTCTACTTCTAGAAGCCTGAGGTGCAGTGTCAGATTGTTTAATTTCTTCTTTAATTTCATCTGTAACCCATTGGTTGTTCAAAAGGGTGTTATTTAATTTCCGTGTGTTTATGGAGTTTTCGTAGTTTCTTTTGTCATTAAATTCCAGTTTTATTGCACTATGGTCAGATAATATGCATGGGGTAATTCAATTCCTTTGCATTTACTTAAACATGTTCTATGGGCTGGTGTATGGTCTATTTTAGAGAATGTCCCATGTGCAGATGAGAAGAATGTGTATTCTGATGTTGGGTGAAAAACTGTAAACGTCTGCTTCGCCCATTTGTTTGTAGGTTTGGTTCAGTTCTGTTATTGCTTTACTGATTTTTTGTCTAGTTAATCTATCGCCTTGTAACAATGGGGATTTGAGGTCCCCCATATAACCATAAATTCTTGAGAGAGATTTACTCATTTTAGGTAATTCTTTATTTTCTTTCTCTAAACAAAATTTTTATTTTATTTTATTTTATTTTATTTATTTTGCTTTTTTGAGACAGAGTGTTGCTATGCAGTTCAGGCTGCACTTGGGCTCACTTTGTAGCCCAGGCTGGTCTTGAACTTGCAAAGGATTCTCCTGCCTCAGCCTCCCAAGTGCTGGGATTACAGGATTTTTAAACAAAATTTTTAAATGACATACTTTAAATACAGATATAGTCTTTCTTGTGTTACTAATATGCTAAATTCCCTTTGGACAACATTGGAGTTTATGCTGAACGAGCACCAGGAAGCACTCTGGAAACACGCATTAATCCAAATGGCCAGGCTAAGCCAGTTTATGCTTCCAAACAGATATTTAAACATCATTAGAACTGATAAGATAAATAAGTACCTTTCAAATGCAAAATAGTTCTTTTCTTCTTTACCTTTTGAAGTCAATAAAAGGTTTTCACAATTTAACGATTTATTTAAAAATTGCACTAATTATATATCACATACTTCCCAAAATATTTATCCAATATAATCCTCAAAACAAGCCTGGAATCATTACTCTCTGCATTTTTACAAATGAGGAAGCTGGCTTAAAGAGAGAGAACTGAGATAACTACAATATCCCTGGAGCTCTTCAGAGCCCAGGAACCTCCTGCCTATCTCAGTTCCTCCAACCGGCTGTGGGACTCCTCCGGTCTGCTGTTTCAAATAATGCGTTTGGTTTTTTTAACTAATCATCTTCCAAACATCTTTACTTTAGTGAGTTTTGAATTTTCCAACCGGTTTCCAATCTGTCGGATAAGTCAAGACTTCTGTAGTTGATTTCCACAAATAAATGAGAGAAAAGGGCCCTTAAGATTTCTTTTGACTCTTGTAATGGTTAATTTTATGATAATAACTTGATTAAGCTAAGGGATAGTTAGATAGATGCTAAACATTGTTTCTGGTATATCTGAGAAGGTGTCTCTGGAAGAGATTAGCATTTGAATCAGTAACCTGAATAAAGAGAATCACTTTCACCAACTTAAGTAGCATTACTCAACTTGCTGGGGCCCAGACAGAATAAAAAAAGAAAGAAAGGAATACTCTGTAGTCTCCCCTTATCCACACAGCATATATTTCAAGGCCCTAGTGAGTCCTTAAAACTCCAATATTATATATATATGTAATATATATAAACCATGATAGTTTAATTTATAAATTAGGCACAGTAAGATTAAAAACTAATAATAAAATCAAACATTATAACAATATATTGTAATAAATCATGTAATTCCATCTCTCTCCCACCCTCTCTCATATCTTATTTTACTATACTACATTTTCACACCAAGATTGACCTGATCACTGACAAAATGGGAAGATTTTATTAAGATATGTGAAAATCCTGCTTTGTGTAAGGCAGAGATCCTCATCCTGTGACAATTTTGTTTTTGTTTGAATTGTGGAACACTCATATTGAGACCCTGGCATAGAGAACCTGGCAAAATTAAAAGTTCTTCAATTTTTTAGAAAGAAATTCCTAAGACTTGGGATGTAGCCCAGTAGAAGCACACCTCCCTAACATGCAGGAAGCCCTGGGTCTGATTCATAACACTGTAAAAAGAAAACCAACCTTTCTAAAATTCACCAGGGGATTCTGATGTGCAGCCAGGATTGAGAGCCACCGAACTGGGGTTTACTGGGCTGGGGGTAGTAAGGGCAATGGAAGATGATCAGGGCAGAGCTTAAAGGACTCTTTAATTTTATTATAATAGAAGAGACAAGATCAGGTCAAGAACTTAGAAATGTAAGACTGAATTATGTTCTGAGCTAGAACAGAGCTTTTATCTGAGAATAATTACAGAACATCAAGAAACTCTTGTTCCAAACTTTCTTTCCTCTAGGCAATTAATAAGTAGTAGTTAAATTTCATTGTAATTGAATTGAAATAATCTTAATGGGAAATCATTAAATGGTTCATGTTAAGTTTGTACTTATCACTGTATCCTCTTAATTCTGTGTCTGCTTCCAAAGATTTGGAAGTATTTGAAAAGGTTTTGGCCCAGGCTGGATACTGTAGCCGGTAAAGCCAGGAAGCTCCTATCTCCCCACCCTTAGGAATTGCCCCTGGCACCAAACTAAGACCAATGGGCTACCTGTGCATCCCTAATGCCCCCCTTAGGTTCCACCCCAAATCGAGGCTACTTATGTGCCTCACTCCACGTGTTCCACGGAGAGATCGCAGGCCCCGGGGTGGTGATGCCACGCCCCAGGGGGTCGGGGGTGTCTCTCCCCGGATTCCCAAAATAAAGGTTATTTATATACTTCTTATCTTTTCAGCTGCCTCCGGTCCTCCTCCTCCTTCCCCCCACAGTTCTATCAGATGGTTCCCTGACCGGGAACAGCAGGAGAGAGACTCCTGGGGCTGGTTCCCAGTTTTGAGTCCCCTGCTGTTCAGGACTGACAGGACTGCATCCTGCATTAATTCCTCACTTCTACACTCAGGAACTGTAAGCTTGGCTGCTGGTTCGCAAACAACACCCACCAGTTTCACACAGGTGAGCAACTCTGCGGAGACGGCCACCGGGCCAGGCTCAGGTGGATTTTCTCCCCACTTTGCGTGGGTTCGTGATGCTTTCACGACTTTTAGACAGCCCAAATCAAGGCCTTTCTGGGCAAGCCGGTGTCCACTCTGGACCGCCCACACTGAGAGGCCCTCATGTTTTTCCAGAGCTTTTTAAGTTCTCACAGGCAGACAGCCCAAACTAGGGGCTTTCTGGGCAAGCCTGTGTCTGTTCTTGGACCGCCCACACTGAGAGACCCTCACTTTAGAGCTTTTTAAGTTCTCACGGCAGAGCGGTTACTCGGCCCACACAAAGTCCACTCATAATATTGTGACGGCCAATTATTAAGAGTTTGGAGTGATACAGCCAACCCGTTGGTCTGGGGTGCAGTGTGACAACTCTAATCCTGACAGACCACGGTCCGGTGCCTTATCTAATTGTAGCTCCATGGGCTAGACTCCACACTAGATTTTATCTCGGGGACCACTTCCTGTCCCCCCCCAAACCATACCTATTTATGGCTTATCACACTGAGGACAAGCTTACAAAACTCTCTATCTTTGTTTTGGGAATGTGCCCCTTCCCGCCAGCCTCCCTGTCCCTTTGTCTCCTCCAGGATCCCTCCCCCTCCCTGCATTTAAAGAGATAACAGCATCTTCCCCTGCAGCCTTTTGGAGTTTTCTCAGTGCCTCCTTTCCTCCCGGCTTCCCTCCCCCACACTGCGCTGCCAGCATCCCTTTGTTTCCCGTGTGCGCCAACCCATCCCCCGCCGCCGAGATTAAAAATGAGACCAAACAATGTTAAGAGATTCACATACAACTGCTCTTCAAACAGCTTTTGGCTCTCGCACACTGCAGCCCCCAGCTCCTCACATCATGTTTCGACTCTCACACGGCCAGGTCCTGTGCCCTGGTCCACGCCACGGGTTCAGCTTTTGGCGCCGCGGCCTGGGCCGCGCACCCCGCCAGCAGCTCCTACAGGTGACGGTCCGGCTGCCAGCCACACGCCTCTGGGAGCAGAACAACACTTGGCTAAAAGCTGTGACGTGTCTCCCAGCCCCATCGCCGCTGCTGCCATGGCCACTACCGCAGCCACTACCACCAACCCTGCCCCCGCTGCCACCGCTGCCACCACCCTGCCATGCCCCCACCGCCCTTTGCACCGTACGCTGCCGGCTCCATCACCAACAACGGCCGGCCCCTGCACCACCAGCCCACCGCAGCAGCCACCATGAGCCCGCCCACCATTGCAGCCGGCACCGCCCCCCCTCCTGCCATCACAGCTAAATTGCGTGTTTCCCTGCGCTGTCCCAGCGCCATTGTCACCACCTTACATGTTTCAAGGTGTGATCTCAGCCTGTCCCTGCATGCTATGTCCCAGCACTCACCCCACCCACTCTGCGTGTTCCACCTACATGCTGCGTACCAGATAATCTCGGCCCCGCCCCCAAGCTCAAATATGCTCTTTCTGCAGGAAGGCTCTGTCTGTCTCAGAGTTCCAAACTGCCTCAGACTCTGCGCATTTCCTAGACAGGCTCCTCCCAAATACAAGCGCTTCTTTCAACACAGACGCATACAACATCTCGCAGCTCTGTTAAAACATTATATTTTTTTTACAATTCAGTTCCACTCAAGAGAGGCTATTTTTATACAATTTTCGAACCATTTATTCAAGTAGTGGCCACCTGGTATCAATTGTTTATCAATTAAAGCCTACACTAATCTCCTGTTTTAACCACTAAAATTAAGAGATATTTATCAATTCCTATTTGCTGTGGACCACCAGTAATGTTCTAAACTTATTGCCTCTACTATACTGTGCTGTCACCAATCTCCTGTTTAATAATTAAGGTTATAAATTCCTTTTTGCTGGAAACCACTAGCTCTGTTCCAAGACAAGAGTTTTGTTGAAAATTCTAATGTTGTCCACCACCAGTAATGTTCTCTGTTAAATTTATTGCTTCTATCATACTGTGTTGTCACCAATCTCCTGTTTAACAACTAAGGTTATAATAACTTGAGAGTATATACTAAGTTATAATAACTTGAAGATATATTTGTCTTGGTTAAGACTTGTAGGTATATAAAAAATTATGAAGCTCAAAAAGATATAATTTTTAAAAGCTTGAAAAGCTGATAACTTGAGAGTATATACTAAGTTAATACATTTATTCATAAGATTGGTAAAGACAACCTTTACTGCAAAATGTTTCCATTAAAGCCTTTTTAGACAGACTAAAACCTTTTTGTTAATTCCATGTGGCACCCTATAAAAAAGTGATATGCCATCCAGATAAAGCCTGCTCTCTGATATTAAGCTCCTACATACTTATTTAATTCTACAGATACCTTTTACTATAGTCCAGATCTCAAACAATAAGGCAAAACTTGACCTTCAAGCTCCACAGAGACCTTGATATGGTTTTTCATATTTTAACACTTATAACACTTGCAGTTCTGAGACAGACAATCTACACAAGGTGGAGCTACCTGCCCCCCCCCCACTGGACCATGCTCAAATGCAGCAGAAGACATCAGGCAAAAAATGTGCCTCATCCTGGCATTCTTTGAGACCCTACTCCAGGGCTGCTGGGCTGTCCTAGCCACCAGAGAGTGGGTGGGCCATCCTAACTTCTAGCCCTCACAAGACACTGCCAGATTCATCGCCAACAAAAATTGCTGCCAAAGACTAAGAGGGGCTAAGGGCCAACAACAACCCACTTTGTGGGTGTCCGTCTCAGAGTCCAAGTCACATTAAAACTCTCAAGGTAAGACATTCTCTATATTTGTGGACATAGAGGCCATATATAGGGAGTTCTTACGGAGTTTCCAGGCTACTATAATAAATCCTCAATCCCTGATGGGGTATTAAAGGTCAACCTATGACATTTACAAACAGGGCCTATTTTGTACAGGTCCCAGTCCTAAATCTTAAAATGCTTTTATTCCCTTTTATACGGGCTGACAGATACATTTTGTCTTCTCACTTTGTTTATACTTTTTCAGGATACATAAAGGCCTTTCCCACAACCAGGTAAACTGCTGACATACTTGCTAAAGTTCTGTTACACCAAATCATTCCAAGGACTAAGTTGCTAGACTGCCATTCTGGTTTCACATCACTCAGGCCCTAGATCTGACCGTCCTTTTCCTATTCATCTCTGCCTTACCAAGGCCTCACGGCCACGACTTACAGGTTGTCATGTTTTGTTATCCACTTTGGTTCCTAATTTCCTACAATCTATTAATGATCATTTTTACAGCAGGACTCTTTAACAGTATTGCCTACAGACTCCAACATCATGCAAACCAGAGACAAGCCTTACCTACCTACTTTTTAACTTTTATACTTTCAGATGGGGGAGTAAGCACCTCTCATAATTTCACTCCTCCTAACCCCACATTTAATTTTTCAGAATTCTGCCTTGCCGTGGAAATGTTCCTACCTCAACATCGTCCTGATAAAATGATATGTCTAAATCAAAGGCACATTTCCCTCTACCTCACCTGGGTTCTTAAATATGACAGTGCCATGTCTCCTCATAACATCTTGTCTCTTTGTTTTTTCAGTCTAACATACGTACATTCACCAGTGAAGTTGTCCTGGCTAAAACACCTGGCACCAGCTTCTACCTGGGCATCAACCATCATCCCATCAACTCCCCTAGACCCTAGTACAGCGCCCTCAGCCAGCAGGAAGTAGTTAAAGAGAAAAATCTTTGCCCCTTTTCATAATAATCATAAGACGGGATCTGAAAGGGTTTTGGCCCAGACCAGATACTGTAGCTGGTAAAGCCAGGAAGCTCCTATCTCCCCCACCCTTAGGAATTGCCCCTGGAGCCAAACAAAGACCAATGGGCTACCTGTGCATCCCTAATGCCCCCCTTAGGTTCACCCCAAGCCGAGGCTACGTATGTGCCTCACTCCACGTGTTCCACGGAGAGATCACTGGCCCCAGGGTGGAGATGCCAGGCCCCAAGGGGTCGGGGGTGTCTCTCCCCACATTCCCAAAATAAAGGTTATTTATATTTTACACCTCTTATCTCTTCAGCCGCCGCCAGTCCTCCTCCCCCCACAGTTCTATCAGTATTGTGACCCAGGGATTCTTCTGTTCATTTTTTCTTCATGCCATATATTATCACTGAAGAATCCCATTGAATGGAAATATATACCGTTAGCAACATTCACTGCTTATTCTTAGCAAACCAAGCATTGACCTGACCACACTCATTAAAAAATAACTTTTAGAGCTCATAAAATTTCTCAATAACCACAAACACAGAGGATCGCTCCTATGAATTACACAGTGATGGTTTCATAAGCAGAAGGGGAAAATAATTATATTTTAATAAAATATTACCACTAAATTTCAGTACCTAATGCTGCCTTCAAAGTTATGCCAAATTTCTTTCTAATAATTATAAAAGATTTCTTCTTGCTTTAAATATTACCTTTTCCTATGCATAGTGGGGTTTTTTTTTGTTTGCTTGTTTGTTTTATACATATATGTAATATTTTGTTTCTTTTTAATAGCTCTAATCTCTTTGGCAGCAATACCTCTTTTGGCATCAACTTTATATATAGTTTATCCTCAAATAAAATTTAAATCTTTATATTTTTATGCTCTGCTTATCGCCCCAAATTCTTTCTAGAAATTTGGCTGAAAGAATCCAGCAATCCTCATAACCACTACCTGAACACTGGGATGCTTTGAATTTTCCTCTAGCAAATTTATTAGTACACTGCTCTTAATTTCAGTGTTCTGAAAAGTCTCAGAACATGGACAAAATGTGAATAACTTTTTGTCAGAGTGTAACACACATGGCCTCTAACACAATTGCTAATGAAGTGCTTTTCCCCAAACTGAAACCATCTGAATCTGTTCTTTTCTGTTTGCATTCCTATCAGCATTATGGTCTCTGAGCTCCGCCCACAATAACCCTCCCAGCTCTGCTTACAAGTCACATTTTAGTAAGACTTGCTTGCAAATCATACATGAGCTTTGAGACTTCAACTCTTGAAGATCAGTCATTGTAATCCCAGCATCAAATGAAAGCACTAAAATTTTATCAACTATCACCATCCACATTAGTGAGACTAGGCAGAAGGAAACAGCACTCTTATCATCTTTAAGTGGAAACATCTCATACAAATGCTGGGTTTATTAGTAGAATCTGTGGGAATACTGTTGTACCCAATACTGAAAAAGGCACCACTTATATTGGTACCACCATCCCTCCATCATAAATTCTTTCATTCATGCACTTACCTACTTAGCAAACACCAACATTCGGCTATCTGCCAGACACTGAACAGAACACACTATATTCTCTGCCTTCATTGTTTAGTGCAGAAAGATTAGCAGTAAACAGGTAAACAAATTAAAAATTATAATTTGAATTTAAAAATAAATGTTATGAAGGGAATAAACAGTGGGTTATGGAGAGATAAATGAGAAAGATTCAGCCCTGCACAGCCAAAAGAAAAGCCTTGCTCACAGAGAAAAGGCAGCTCTAAGTGAGTCTGAGGATTAAATAGGTCACAATCAGATCTATTTTATGCATCTTGCATTCTGTCTGTGCTCAGTAGTACCAGAAGTCAAGGCTAGCCAAGAACAAAGCACACTGAGCCTGTGCCTAACTCGTTTCCTTGTGAAAACTCCTCTACTGTGGATTCAGCTTTGCATCGTACATAAGCATCCATCCTGCTGCAGGGGTCTCAGTGTCTGTGGGCTTTTGGAAGAATTCACATTGGTAGCAAAATCTGGGTTTTTAATAAAGTCTATTTTTTCTTTTGTATTGATATGCATGGAGATTATTTTTGATTCTTGATTGCCCATAGAGCACAAACCTACCAACAGTATAAAAATCACCCCCCATCCCCACTGAGGCCTATGAGCCCTCTGATTCATTGACCTTTGGGGGAGGATGAAGATAAAGAACGCAACACCAAGAACTCCCAAGGCTGTATGTAATACATGCAGCAATTTAGGGAGCATCTTAAGGAGACCTATGTGATAAATTGTCAGTTTTGAAGTTTTTAACCCTTTAAAACCAACAATTACTTTCTATAAACACCAAAAACATTTATTCTATAGTGCACTGAGTTTGGCTTATTAAAAACATGTTGAAGGACCAGGGATATAGCTGAGCAGCACAGCACCTGCCTGGCAAGCGCAAGTTCGGGATTTCAATTCCTGGTATGCCCCCCATAAAAATGTTGCAGTCCTAACTAACCTCTAGTACCTGCAAAGATGACTTTATTTGGAAACAGAATCTTTTCAACGATCAAGTTAACATTGTGTGCATCTAAATTGTACAAACAAGCAATTATAAATAAAAAAATAATAAAGTGAGGTCAGTAGAGTGTGTCCTAAGCCAATATGACTGAATCCTTATTAAAAAGGAAAATTTGAACTCAACCAAAATGCCTCGTCAAGATGAAGGCAGAAACTGGAAATTACAAGTCAAGGAATGCCAAAGAC